CACCAGCTGACACTGGGCCGCGGGCCATGCGGGCCACAGCCCATATACACACCAAGGGTTCTGTTCAGGATCAGACTCCACTGAGCATCAGCATCCATCCTGAGCTGCCTTAGCACAGAACCACCAGTTGGTCCTCTTCATCTACACGAGGTTCTACTCCACAGCCAGTCGTCACTCAGGATCTTATTCATTCAGTACATTCAGTACCAGATCTGACCACATGAGAAAGGGCGGCGCTCTTGTTTGATCACAACAGCTAAAAAGTCGCAAATTAAACTGATTTCACCAGGTGTAATATCAAAGACACTGCTGGTGCATTAGAACCACTGAGACCAGGAGCTGAAGAGAACCAAGACTTAGCATTAGCTTCACTAGCTTAACTGCACACAACCAAATGTGACCCATCACCACAACCACCAGGGGGCAGCTTCAGTGTATGGGGACGGTGCCGTGCTCAGTGCACCTCAGTGGTAACTTGGCAACTGGGGGACTCGAACCTGAAGCCTCCTTAACCACTAAACCACCACTGCCGTCAACATGAACTGACGCAATAGAAAAAGCGGTAAAAAAAAGGAGCATCTCCGTAACTTATTACAGTGTGACAGGCCAGATAACTGAAGATAGCTGAAGAATCAGCCCCGGTTCTGAGTGAGTGCTGTGTCTTTATGTTTATGTTTGTGTTCCCTTCTTTTTCCCTTTGGTTTGAAAGAGGGCTGAAGGAAGCCATACTTCAAACTGGAGAGACCATCTTTGAACACTGGAGGGCGCCTCAGACACCAGTTATCACCCACCTACAACGCTGTCCTCAGTTCTCTCCCCAGGAACTACAGGCGAAACTCACAGCTCCGTTCAGGTAACACCAACGACCCCCACCCAGAGGACAGGGCGGGGGAACAGTCCACCACGGGGCCGACGACTCACCTGACCGTTTAACGGTCATATTGTTTGGTGGCCATGACCACCAGGACAGTATCCGGTTGACTACTTTTAAAACTGCTAAACTAAAACCAATAACATTCAGTACCGACAGTAGCCGTGAGACGGTAGCGAACGTTACCGTAAGCCCATCTATATTCAGCGAAAAACATCTTTGAACGAACGGGTACAAGTTACGATTTGAAAGACTTATGAACAACTTAATATTTAAAGAGTTATTAAATTATTATTGTTGTTAATACTAATAACAACGACAACAACAGCTAACCAATGTTAGCAGCAAGCTAACAAGAGCCACGGTATATAAACGAACAACCACAAATCAATACAAACTTAACGTCATTTTGCAGTTAAACTTACGTGACAAGGACTCGCCTCCAACAGGTTGTTACATGTTATTGTCAAATTACTAACAAAGATGCACGTACGGAGGACCAGGCTATTGGTGCATGCTAGCAAATGCAGGTCAGAGTTCAAAAGTCAGCGTTGATGTTTCATCATTTAATGTTAGATTTGTTAAAAACAACAATGTCTATGAAACACATTGTAAATGTACAAATATGTTTCATTTTTATAAATGTGAATGAAATAATGTATGATTGAATGAATACAATCTCTACGTAAATATCTGTGTCAGACCATGAGAACGTAGTCCACGTTTATTCACAGTTTTATCTGAACCTTCCTCTAACAGTTGATCAATCTGTTGTGCTGCATTTGTTTTTCTTTTTCTTTTTAAATCGTACTCTTTACATACGAGTGACAGCACAGAGTTTGTGGTCAGCAGGGCTTAGTGTGAAGCCCACGCGCGGGGTCAGATCCAGGTCGTCCTCTGAGACTCCAGGTTCTGGTGTGAAACGGAAGCGCTGCAGCAGGGTGGAGAAGAAGAGGAAGAGCTCCATCCTGGCCAGAGCTTCTCCCACACAAACCCTGCGACCTGAGAAGAAGTCTCTCATCATGAGTCTCCAAAGGTGAGAAACAACTGACACCTAGTGGTGGTCAAGCATGGGCGCACCAACCTGCTGAAAAAGGCATGAAGGCATCTGGCCTGATGAACTTTCCATCCTGGTCCAGGAAGTGGGCTGGATGGAAGGAGTGAGGATCCTCCCACTCACTGTCATCGTACAGAACAGAGGACAACAGAGGAATCACGGAGGTTCCCTGTGGATCACAGAGAAAAACAATGATTTGGTTCAGAGCTCGTGTGCCTCAAGGTGGACAGAGATGAAGGAAAAGTCCTGACCTTCTTGATGAAGTAGCCCTGGAATGTGACGTCCTGACTGGTTCTGTGAGGCAGAGACATGGGGACAATGTTGGCCAGTCTCTGAGTCTCGTGGATGACGGCGTCGACGAAGGGCAGGTTCTTCCTGTCTTCAACCTGGACCTGACGACTTCCTACCACGGAGTTCAGCTCGTCCTGGACCTGGTCTGGAACAGACACATGGAACTATTGGTCCCTTCTTCCTGGATCTTCTGACTCTCCAGACTGCGGCTCCTCACCTTGTATTTGTGGATATTTAGCCATCAGCAACAGCGCCCACTTGAGTGTAGTTGACGTCGTATCAGTGCCAGCAGCGAAGAGGCTAATGGTTGACGTGACAAGGTTGAAGTCGTGGAACTGACTGTTGGTTACCTGGGATTTCTTCAAAGACAGAAGCGAGTGAGGAAGTAGAACAAAAGAACAGGAAGTCCATACAGAACGGAACAGCAGTTTCTACTGGGGTGTGAAACGACGACCTTCTTCCTGTAAGGCCCTTCCACTGCGCGACCGTTTTATCCCTCCTATTATCCTTGGGGTCAGTTTGACCCCATTCAATGTTTAACGTCTCACAATTACACATTTGTTATGTTTAATCTTTGGTCACTTTTGGAGGAGAACTGGGCAAATTTAAATTTAACTTCATAATATTTTTTTGATGCCTGTTGTTTACATCCGTGTTTCTTTATCCGTATAAAACATTTAAGGACATGTTGTATTGTTGTATAATTATTTTCACACATGCTTTATTTGTTTGAGATCACATTAAGGTCATCACAACACAGCGTTCCTGTGTCTCGGGCCGACGCTAACACACTGATCATTCTGATGACACAAACAACTGACAAACAGAAATATGGCAGCTCCAGTCGGTCAATAGAAACGCACACACTGGACAGGACCAACTTCGAGGGGACGGGGGTGAAAAATAGTTGAGTAATATTTGGAATTATAATCCTTTTTCTTGAGATTAAAATGGCTGACCCCAAGGATAATAGATGTTTGATTTCAGTGAAAATAAGAAGGCGGCCCAGACAGTGAACACAGAGTGTAGATAATCAAAGGAAACCCGAACCTCCAGCTGTTGTTGTCGCAGCAGGAAGTTGTCGACTAACCCTCGGCACACGTGTGGATTCAGAGTCTGCTTCAGACGACCAACCAGCTCCAAGGTCTGCGTCTGGTTGTCCTTTGACAATTTCTTCATTTCTCGCACGTCGTTGAAAAATCGCCCGATCCACGGAAGCGCGTTATACAACTTGACAAAAACAGCGACATAATAATAATTAGACGCAGCCCGCTGAGCCACCCGTGGGCCTCGTCGGTTCAGTCCTGTCTGGTACAAACCTGAACTGCAGGAGAGGCGGCCAGCTGGATGATTCTGTTGGTCCGGTCCACCATTGAGGTGAATTCCACGTCATCGTAGTCGAACCTGCTGCCGTAGACCATGGAGCAGATGATGTTGGAGACGGCGTAGTTCAGAGGTTTGGTGGTGTCCAAGGCCTCACCTGCAGACATGTCGTTGATGAAACATCCAAGGTTGGTGGGTTTTTTTTTTAAAATCTCCTCCTACCTTTGAACTTGTTCACCACCTCCACGAGCTTCTGACATTCCTCGATGATTTTGTCCTCGCATGCCCTTCTCCCCATCCCATAATCCCTCAGGTTGGTCAAAGCAAAGCGTCTCATTTCCCTCCAACACTCTCCGTTGGACCAAATAATCCCTGAAATTAAGCTTCTGTTATTGGCCTCGGAAAATCAGATTCAGGTCAAAGACAGATGAGTCACGTGTCACAGACCGACGTCATCATCAATGAACACTAGGGGGCGCTGCTAGGGATTTTGGGCACCAGGAAAATCATTTTTACAGGACCCCTAACACCACCACTGAAAGATTGAGTCACTGACAGGCGGAGAATGAGCCTACCAAAGAAAGTCACTGGGGTTTTCAGAGATTCCAAATATTTATCAACCAAAAAACGGAGGTTACTCATCATACAGTGAAGCAGAATAATGAACCCAAAGATCAACCAGTAACAACTGAAGTTAGAGGCCAAGAAAAACAACCGTTAACCATTAAACCAAAGAAATTCACATTCATGGCTCTGATTCCACATAAAACTGTTGTCAAAGTTAAATTAAAGCCCGACTTTGTTTGAACTTGGTTAAATTGATTTCATTCAGTGTCTAATTGTTGGCTAACTTTTCGGCTAATGTTTGTCAACACAGCTGTAGTTGGTGAACTGAAGTCTATTTACTGAACGGTGGACAATACTCTGGTTCTGGTTCTCACCACATCCCTGACTGGTCTCTTTAACAATCCTCATTGGTTCTCTCTCTCCGAACTCCTCACTGTGGTCAATCAGAGCCTCCCTCACCGTCTTGGTTCCAGCCAGGACCACAGTTTTTTTAGGTCCAAGGTAAACAGTGAAGACTGAGCCATAGGTCCTGGAGAGCTGGGGAACAGGAAATTCCAGAATTAGTCCACAGCTGTGGTCTGCAGCTAATGACTAAGACCAGTTCAGACCTGTTTTTGTCAGTCCACCTCACCTTCAGGAAGGTTCTGTACGGTCTCTTGAGGTCCAGCTGCAGCAGGTTACCAAGCAGTGGCAGAGGTCTGGGTCCTGGAGGCTCCTTCCTGGTCACCTGGGACCTGAAGGCAGAGTTAGAGAGCAGGTAAACCAGCAGCAGGACCAGGAGAGCAGCAGACAGGGAGACACAGGTGGAGTTCTGGAGGAACAGCTCAGAGACCGACATGACGCCAACCACAACAACAGAACACCTCCTGGAGAGAGCGGACAAGATGTTGTCCTTGGAAAACGATCCTGGAGTCTGAGCCTGTCGCAGGTGGAGGTGTCGGAGGCTGACTGCTGGGAGGAGCTGATGTTAGTGACATCAGAGAGGGGAGGAGTCTCTGGTTTTACTTCAGGTCCAGAAGAAAGATATTTTTTAAATGAAAACGACACCATCACACCTCGACGTAACGTCCCGACAGTTCTTACTTCTTACTTTCACTACTTGTAATGTCAATAATTAAATTGCACCAATCAATTTTAGAAGGTTTATTTATCTCACTCTTGGTGTGTCACACCCTGTGGCCCTCGCCCCCCCCATGTCCCTCCACTACAGCCTGCAGAGGCAGACAAGGTTTTAGGTCCAACACTGAGTATAGAGAAAGTGTCCGCCTCCTGAACCCCTCCCCCGCCATCCCCCTGGCAGCTGGTTCTAAAGGTGAGGAGCCTGGAATCTGAAAGCTCCGCCTCCTATTCTTCACAGCAAAGGATCAGGTGACACATGTACGGGTTGGAAGACGACAAAAGCAAATGCAGTGGTGTGTGATGACAGCCACACTGACACATAAAGCTGCATGACTGACACCTGCAGGCTGCTTCAGTCCATGCACTGGTTTGACACAGACGTCAGAGGCTTTCAGGTACAACTGGATCAGCAGGGTTTTCTGGAGAGAAATCACAACAAAACATTAAAAGCTAATCCTGGAGACAGCAAAATGTTTAGGTGAGCAGAAAACCTGCTAATGTCGAACGTCAGAAGTACAAACAAATACTGTCGACGAGGGAAAGTAAGAAGTAAAAACTGTCAGGACGTTACGTGGTTGGCTGAGTGTGTGCTGCTTTTCAGGTGTTGTGTGGTCCAACGGAGAGTTGTGGAAAGAAATGAGGCGCTTTGCTTTGATGAACCTGAGAGACTTTGGGATGGGAAAAAAGTCCTGCGAGGACAAAATCACGGAGGAATGTGAATATCTGATTGAAGTGATTGGGAGTTCTGGAGGTTTGTTCTTCAGTCCAGGCAGGAGTTCTCATGAGAGTTCCTGGGACCTTTCTAATTCCTGTGTCCGGCTGCAGGAGAACCCTTTGATACGACGGCACCACTGAACCAGGCCGTCTCCAACATCATCTGCTCCATGGTCTATGGCAGCAGGTTTGAGTACGACGACCCAGAGTTCACCTCTCTGGTCAACAGAACCAACAGAATTATTCAGCTGGGGGCTTCTGCAAAGATTCGGGTGAGCTTCCATTTTGGTTCCTTCGTTTCACTTCCTTGTTGTACGTTCGTTCTGTTCGACGATGATTTTTGTCTCCGCAGCTGTACAACATGTTCCCGTGGTTTAGAAAACTGTTCACCCCCAAGGAGTTTTTCAAATATCTGGAAGCTAACATTGAGCAAAACCTGATGCTCTTCAGCCGTCTGAAGGACACCCTCAACCCACAGATGTGCAGAGGCTTCGTGGACGCCTTCCTGGTCCACAAGCAAAACCTGGAGGTGGGTGGATGCATCCGTACATTTTATTTTTGGAGGTTTTTTCCACAAAAGTCATGGATCAAAATCACGTTTTTTGGTTAGTTTTCGTCGTAGATATGGTACTTTCAGCAGTTTTGGTGGACATTACACAGATGATTCATATTTTGTTTCATATTTTAACGTTTTGTCTTGTTTCTGTGATGTTTTTATTTTTCTGATCCAGTTGTGTGGAAAAATAAGGTGAGAGTTAAAGAAAGTGTCACATATTTTTATTCATTCTGGATCATTCGTTCGTGACTAAATGTAGTGGTCCTTGGTCTAGTGGTCAGAGAGGTGGTCTTCTCAGTGAAGGGTCGCTGGTTTAAATCTTGTTGCTGGAAATAGACCCGATAAGCTTTTATTTCTTCTATACAATGTCGCCCTCTGCTGACTGAAAGGAGCACTTGTCATCTCCAAGTGTTTGACAGTCGTCATGACAGATAAACTTAGCAGCTTTAGCTGCACAGATTTAAACAGTAGAACAGTTTTTAGTCTGTTTTATCATCCTTCTTCATGATCTGATGTTTAGGTTCGGTTTTCTTCAAGGGGAGGAGGTCTACTTCCTGTTCAACCGCAGATAATGCCACTCCAGGAGCAGTAAGGTTACCATAACAACACGCTCTCCAGTAGGTCAGAGTAACAACTAGGTAACGCCCCCATACTTAACTTCTTACCTTGAACCGAACTCTCTACTGATTAAACTCTTCCACTGATGCTGCAACATTTTAACATTTAAACTCCATTGGCCACAATATGACATCATTAACAACTATTTCGCACATCATTCCTATCACAACACCAGCAGGTGGCGCCTGTTCACTTGAAAAGTATGAAATCAAAGAGATGCGTCTGAAAACTGCAGTTCTCTTTTATTACAGACATGAGAAACTTCTGGAATTCTTTAGCTCTTCTAACACAGATGGTCGTTTCTATTAAAATGTTCTTCAAACTGATCATTAAATAATTAATGCAACAATGATGAACGATGAACAATCACGTGATTCAACATGTTAAAACATCTAAATGAATATACACTTCTTTTACATTGAATGTTAGAAATTAGGGGTTGTCGTCGCCTGGTGGTCATTTGAAGAACTACAGGTTGACTGTCATGTTAACAATGTGTGGTACCGATGGGTTAGAACAAAGGTGGTTAGAAAGAGGTGAAAATGGTTAAAGTTCGGCTCACACTGTCCCAGCAGCAGGGGGCGCTCACCACCTGTCACCTCCTACAGCTACACAGGTCTTTGTTTGCTGCGTTGTCCAGGTGTTGATGAGCAGACGGGGGTCAGAGTGCTCCGACCTCACTCCCCCACGGACGGTGGGGTTTGGACCCACTGACAGTCTGTGATGAAGAGGAGACCAGAGAGGAGGAGGAGGAGGAGGGGAGGACGTGGGCACCTCCGTGGAGGGTGATGGGGGGTGATGCAGGCGTGAGGGAGAGAAAGGAGGTGGGAGGAGGGGGGGCGCCAGTGAGGGGCTCGAGGGAGGAGGAGGAGGAAAGAATGGAGGAGGTTGAATCGGCATAGGAAGAGGACGCACCACGCTCATTCAGCCTGTGGGGGGCTCCACCTTCCCCTCCCGCCTGTCCTAGGGAGAAAGGAAGTCCACTCGGTGTGTATGGGGCAGCAGTGGGCAGGTGTCTGAACGCTGCCACTGTCGCCGCCCAGTGGTGGAGGTGGAATGGGTGAGGTAAAGGGTGGGACAGTGACACCTGCTGGTGATGTGGGAAGTGTGCAGCGGCTGTCAGGGCAGCGGTGTCACGCTGGGAGGCGCAGCACATGAGGTGTGAGAGGAGGCGGGGTCTCAGAGGGTCGCTGGAGTCCAGGGCCTCCGTGGTGCTCAGGTAGCGGGACACCTCCATCACACACTCCCTGAAACCCACAGACAGGAAGTCCAGGGCCAGAGCGGGGGCCTCAAAGGGACCTACACACAAAGATGGTCCTCAACCTGCGGTACTTTATAACTGAGACGGTACCAGGAAGGATTCTGGGAACACTTCCTGCTAAAACCAACCTGGGCTGAGTTGACCTTTGACCTGCAGCATCTTAAGGTGGTCCACAGTCATCTGGAGGATCTCAGACTTCTCCAGCTTCACTGAACCCTGACGAGACAAGAGCAGCCATGCAGTTCAGCGTTAGCTGTGAGAAGAACGTTAACCTCGGCCCCGGGACGAACAACAATGAGCCAGTTGTTTGGGCTGCCTGACAAAGGTTAGCACTAACGTTAGCATTAATGTTAGAAAGAGCTAAAGCTAGCGTTGAACCAGAGAAGAACTGATCCCAGACCTGTTTGTCCAGCTGTGTGGGGACCAGTCGTCTCAGCTCCAGCAGACTGTTGTTGATTCTGTCTCTACGTCTTTTTTCAATCACCTGAAGGAATCGGTCGTCACGTTAGCAACAGTGGAACAACGCTGTAGTGACGGTGTGACAACAGTGTAATAATGGTGTAGTTACTCCTCTACGTTTCTTCCTCTCCATCACTTGGTAGGAGGAGGTGGAGGAGGAAGAGGAGGTGGTGGTGGAGGTGGAGGGTGAAGAACATCTGACCTTCATCAGTCTGAACCAAGAACGACGGTCACTACGGTCTGGAGTTTGTTGGTTCTACAGGTTCACGGCTTCACTCTGACTGCTGGACTGCCCTCTACCTGCTGATGACGGTACTGTCAGTGGCAGTGATAAACGGAAGAAGAAAGTTAGTTCTAAATGTGTAAACATACACAGGTGTGGACTCACCGGGTCAGAACCAGCGTCCAGGTCTCCGTCAGAGTCCAAGTCTGTGACGATCTTTAAAAACATACACAACGAAAAGGTTTTTCTGCTGTAAAAAATGTTTTTACAGGAGTTCATACATGAATCTGCTGAGAGGGTGTGTGTGAGTGTGTGTGAGTGTGTGAGTGAGCCGGGCTCTGTGGTTAACACACACACACACACACACACACACACGAGGAGGACCCTCCCACCGGGATTCAAGATTGTTCAGGGGGTGGGGTTTATTGAACTTCATCTGACTGTTCGCCTGAGACCTGATGATGTCATCAATGACGTCATCGTTATCGTTGCTTTTATTAATATTATTGTTGTCGTTGACCTGGACTGATGGGTAGAAGTATTACTGCAGTACTACGTCTGATTCAATGAAACAATTGGGATTCAAACCTGAAACCCCAGAGTCCAGAGTCCAAATCTGACCTTTGACCTCTGCAGGTCCTCCTGATAAAGGTGAAGAGCAGAGATGAAGGAGGTGAAGGAGGTGAAGGAGGTGAAGGAGGTCACAGCAGCCAAGATAGGAGGAGGTCTGAGGTTGTAATCTCAAAACACGTCAACACCATCTCCAGAAGGTGGCAGTGTGTGTGTCTGTGTGTGTGTGTGTGTGTGTCTGTGTGTGTGTCCTTGAATATTTTTTGGTGTGATTAGAGGTGGTGCAGGTGACGACAGGTATGTCTCACAATCTGGACTTCACAAAGGGGGGGGGTCAGAGAATCTCACAAACTGATATAACATAAACTGAGGGAATTTACAGGGGAGTCAAACACACACACACACACACACAAAGTGCTGGGAGAGTGGTGGGAGTTAGGTATCAGCTGATTTAATGTGTGTGTGCGTGTTGACATTTGCAACACATTCTAAAGAAAGAGAGCGGGTGTGGGAATGACCCACACACCCATCTCAGAATCTCACACACACACAGAGGCTGTGACCCCCCCTCCCAGCAGTGACACATGTGGGTCAGACTGTAGAACTGACCTGGGGTCTGCTCTGAAGCAGCACAGAGGAACAACAGACGCTTCTGTCTCTCTGAGCCACACCAAACCTCATAGAGAAAATCAGAGATTTTAGTTCAGACCAAACCTCATAGAGAAAATCAGAGATTTTAGTTCAGACCAAAGTCCATGGAGAAAATCAGAGATTTTAGTTCAGACCAAACCTCATAGAGAAAATCAGAGATTTTAGTTCAGACCAAAGTCCATGGAGAAAATCAGAGATTTTAGTTCAGACCAAAGTCCATGGAGAAAATCAGAGATTTTAGTTCAGACCAAAGTCCATGGAGAAAATCAGAGATTTTAGTTCAGACCAAAGTCCATGGAGAAAATCAGAGATTTTAGTTCAGACCAAAGTCCATGGAGAAAATCAGAGATTTTAGTTCAGACCAAAGTCCATGGAGAAAATCAGAGATTTTAGTTCAGACCAAAGTCCATGGAGAAAATCAGAGATTTTAGTTCAGACCAAAGTCCATGGAGAAAATCAGAGATTTTAGTTCAGACCAAAGTCCATGGAGAAAATCAGAGATTTTAGTTCAGACCAAAGTCCATGGAGAAAATCAGAGATTTTAGTTCAGACCAAAGTCCATGGAGAAAATCAGAGATTTTAGTTCAGACCAAAGTCCATGGAGAAAATCAGAGATTTTAGTTCAGACCAAAGTCCATGGAGAAAATCAGAGATTTTAGTTCAGACCAAAGTCCATGGAGAAAATCAGAGATTTTAGTTCAGACCAAAGTCCATGGAGAAAATCAGAGATTTTAGTTCAGACCAAAGTCCATGGAGAAAATCAGAGATTTTAGTTCAGACCAAAGTCCATGGAGAAAATCAGAGATTTTAGTTCAGACCAAAGTCCATGGAGAAAATCAGAGATTTTAGTTCAGACCAAAGTCCATGGAGAAAATCAGTGATTTTAGTTCAGACCAAAGTCCATGGAGAAAATCAGAGATTTTAGTTCAGACCACTGAAAATACTTGTTTTGGTGCCTTTGTGTGTGTGTGTGTGAGATGTTTGGCGTGATGAGTGTGGGTTCTACTACAATAAGATTCTGTGTTGCCTCAGCACAGGGCAGGAATCAACAAAAAGGGCAGAAAGTCAGGTCAAACACCCTGGGAGAGAAGAGGAGGTCTGGGAAAGGAAGGGGAGCAGAGTGTGTGGATGTACCAGTTACCCATATGAAGTACTTGTGGTACTGAGAGCCACTGAGAGAACTACAGTATTTTTTGATGGTACTAGTGTTTTAAGACTACTTCCTCACTCTGTTCTGTTTCTCTCTCAGTAAAGTCCATCAGTTGTCGTGTAAATTTCTCTTCCTGTCGTTCAGTGAATGAAGAGCTTCCAGAATCAGAGTGTGGAGATGAGAGCCGTCAGGAATCAAACACCTAATTATATCAAATCAATGTGTTTTGTTTTGTCAGCTCCTCTCTGGATTCGTTAATTAAATCCATTCATGGTTTCATTTATTTATTTTTTTATTTTCACATGTTCTTTCGGGACATTTTAAATCAATTAAACTCGTTTTAATTCAAATAAAAGATTATTTTTAAACGTTATAAAGTAAAACACGCGAAACTAAAAACTAAAGTCGTGTGGGGGCGTGTCTCTCGCCTCCAGCCAATGGTATTTGTCGACAGCCTCGCCGGAAACGGAAGTCTACTGTATTTGTGTTTTTCTTCTTTTATTTTAGCTGATGTTTTCGATCCGCGCCACAGGAACAGAAACAAGAGTCTATATATGTTTCATTCTTAATAAGGATGGAGTATAAACTCATCATGGCGGTTTCCGGTTTCCCGAGTCTTTACGACACCTACTCTCCGACCTACAGAGACCTCAACGTCAGGAGCGACTCCTGGCGGCAGGTGGCAGCGATCGTCGGTGTTCCCGGTGAGAAACGTCAAGAAAACAGGAAAACGAAACAAATATTGGAAATAGGTTAATGTGGAAGAAACAACAACAATGCAAACTATTCTAATACATTCATAACAAATTCAAAGTCACTGTTGAATATATATATATATATATATATAAACAAACAAACTGGTCCGTGTCTCAAAGCTGCTCGGCTGAGTCACTCAGCTCCGGGACGATGGTTCCGAGAACGAATATGAATTGATTTTTTTATGGAAAAAAAAATTAAGCGTTTTTGTTCTTATTAGATGTTGCTTTTTTATTTGAATTATTATAGTTATTATTAGGTGGCCTTAACTGTCGTTGTTGTTTCAGAGACTTATCTGTTTATTCACAAACTGTTGACCTCCCCTTCCCACACACACACACTGGTCTTTTGGTAATTTAGACACAGATTGAGAGGTGGCAGAGTTCTCTGATCTGGTGAACTTTGTTCTTCTCCAGAACATGAATGTAGGAGGAAGTGGAAGACCCTCAGAGACCAACACAGGAGGGAGAGACAGCGGGAGAAGGAGAGAAGAGAGAGTGGCACTGGCCTCTTCAACTACAGACCCTGGAGATACTCCTCCATCCTGTCCTTTTTAAACCCCTTCATCGAAGCCAGGGCTGCAGGAACCACCGACTGGGCCCTGGAGACACAGCCCCCACACCCCCTCACTGCTGACATGGTGGGCTGCAGCACCACCACTGAGACACAGAGCGACGATGACAACTGCAGTGAGTAGAGAGAAATGTCTGTCCATAAAGAAAATCACTGATTTTAGCTCACAGCAGTTGCTAGTCCTCCACTGCCTCCTGTGGTCAGTCTGTGTCACTGCAGTAAGTCTGAACAGATGAGTTCCAACAGAGGAACTCATTAGAGTTCAGTGATGGAGCAGCAGTGGATCAACAACTGCTGAGTCTCTGTGAAGTTTGGTGTGTGTGCAGGTGGGTGGCGCTGTCTACAAACTTGACTTTGTATTTTATCTGCTTTTTGCAGCAGTCGCTGTAGCTGATGCCACATGCTCCTCCTCTTCCTTCCCAGAGTTGACTAAGAGGAAGCGTCCGTCTCCAGGCAGCAGTGAAGCTGTGAGACTGAAAGATACAAAGATGGAGGTGACGTCATGCTGCTGCTGCTAACACTGCTGCTGCTACTGCTGCTAACACTGCTGCTTACACTAACGCTGCTGCTGCTAACGCTGCTGCTGCTAACGCTGCTGCTGCTAACGCTGCTGCTGCTGCTAACGCTGCTGCTTACACTGTTGCTGCTGCTAACGCTGCTGCTTCTGCTAACGCTGCTGCTGTGTCTGAAACATACAAACACGTAGGTTTGAGACAAAGCTGTTGGTTTTAGAATCTTTATTTTTCTCTCTGCTCCTGACTTCACAGCCCTCTGATCCTCTGACATTACCGCTGGTCCAGCAGTCTGTGCACCCACTGCAGCACAGCCTTGCTTCGCTGAGCCAACAACAAGTCCTACCCAGGGATGTTCTCGACCCCACAAATGAAGAAGAGCTGGAGGAGGCACAGGAACAGCAGCGCAGAGACATGTCCCACTCCAGAGCCTCCAGAAGAAGGATGTGCTGGAGTAGTGATGGCCTGTTGGAGGCGCTACTGCAGCACATGGACAGCAGGAACCTGGACCAGAAAGATGATGTCACTCTCTTCCTGCTCAGCCTGGCTCCTGCCATGAGACGACTCTGTCCTGAAAAACAGTCTCTGCTCAGAACCAAGATCCAGCTGCTGCTGCACGAGGCTGAGTTTGGTTCACGTGATGCTGAGTTCACGTGATTGGCTGCTGCTTCACGTATCAGTTTAGCTTCTTGGATTTCAGGAGGACTGTGATGGTACCAGCCTCGCTCAGCTCTGTAGAACCATCGCCAACAAGGTGGAAATATAAAAATGATCTCAGATTGGAGAACAGAAGTCCTACAGACAGCAGGGGGCGTAGCAGTGTGTATAATGTGTTTATATTTATCTACAGAGATGTTTTTAATTCTATTGTATTTTTCTGTATTTTTTTTTAAAATGATGTCGTTACAGAAAACTGTTTTTTTTTTTTTCTTTTTTCAGTATGAATTTTTGATTAAAATGGTGTTGTTTACATCACTCCGTGTGTTGTGAACACAGGACAGGCAGTAACTCCGTGAGTCCAAAAAGGGGATAAAATCCTAACAATAGCACAAACTCGTTTTGACAAAACCCTACAGAGAAACTACAATTAACATTATTCACTGCTAGGATATACAACACATGTACAAATGTATTAAGCCATTAGTCCACAAAGAATCATGAATTATAAAGAAAGTTAGCCAGAAGCTAAAATATATCGAAAGAAAGTTAATACTTTAATTTTAAAAAAAGAAAAACCATCGAAGTTATTTAATTCACAGAATTCTCCAGAACTGTGACTTTGACACAGTGCAATTGACCACGCCCCTATGAACGTCAAAACCTAGGTTTTCCGGTCAGCTGACACAAAGCCGGAAGTAAACAGGCGAAAAGGCTGCGGAGTCGAGGACCGTATTCTGTGAGTTTGTTTTCTGTTTGAAACTTTCACGGCTCGTTAAGTCGTGAAGTTGTTCAATAGAAGAGAATGTTTTTGTTCATTCCCTCGTCTTTGACCTCCTGCTGACTGACTGACACCGAGAGGACTTTAGAACATGGTTTATTCAGACGAGTCTTTCCATTAAACAGGTACACTTACAGTACAGTACATTTTCCTTGGAGGTTCGTTAGCAAAGTTAGCATTTGTTCACTCGGTGAAGCCAGGAAGACAGCTAAAGTTAGCTCAAATTAGCTTCTTCTTCTCTTCCTTTCAGCTTGTCCCTTTGTCTCCTACCTGGTAGCTCAAATTAGTTACGCTGCGGTGTAAAATTAAAATGACAAATTTTAGAAATAAATAGCCAAAATTGAAGGGCCGAATGTCAGAGTTAGCTGAAATATGACAGAAAAAAACTGAACATTATTCAACGAATTGAAAATGTTATTTAAAATATATTTTTTTTATATGTTTCCGATTTAGATAAAAAGGTTGGGGTTTTTATCAATTACATCTACCATGTAGTTCAACCTTCTGTCCTCTGGGTGGTGTTAGTGTTCAGTAGTTTCGCTTCTTTTCTCTCATTCATCAGAGCAGGTTCACCTTGGAACCCAAGTTTTTATTTTATTTTATTTTTAAACCGACCGACCTTCGAACCATCGCATCACATTGTCCCTTAATCCCTCAGCAGGGGGCGGTAAAGAGCTTCAGGTGAGCTCCTCCTTGTGCTCAACTCGTCGATGATGATGAAGGTGTTTCACTGTCCAGCTCGTCATGGTTACGCTGTGGAAACATCTCCGTTCATCTCTCAAAGAGTGGCCTGTGCTGCAGCACAGTTCTACGGCCTGACAGGTCTCACACACACACACACACACACACACACACACACACACACACACACAGTCCATGGTACTGGTGTCTCTGATGTTCTCCTGGTTCCTGTGGTCGTTGTCACTCACAGGTTGTGGAACCCTGCTGGTCCTGGAGGAGACGGAGGTCGGACTTTCTCTCGTGAGAAGGTGATCGCTGATTATTTACATTCATCACAACACATTGGTAAAGGGGGTGGAGTCTAATGTGTGTGTGTGTGTGTGTGTGTTTCAGTACACAATGGAGTGACGGTTTGTTTGACGTGTCCTGGAGCGAATCAAACGAACACGTGTTGGTCACAGGGGGTGGGGACGGCAGTCTGCAGCTGTGGGACACAGCCAATCACAGTGGCCCTCTGAGAGTGGCCAAAGAACACACACAGGAAGTAAGAGTCAGAGGGACACACACACACACACACACACACACCTGCTGTGTACTCCTACACCATTATTTTGAAAATCCAGAGACTTTTATTTTCTAAACTTTTTCGACTTTCGTTCAGATTCAGTATTCGTACTTGTTTGTGTGTACTCTGTGTGTACTCTGTGTGTACTCTGTGTGTACCTGCAGGTGTACTCTGTAGACTGGAGTCAGACCAGGGGTGAAAACCTGATCGTCTCTGGTTCCTGGGATCAAAGTGTCAAAGTGGTGAGACTTGACTTTTTTTACTTTGGACTCTGACGTCCGTGTTTTTCTTCTTGACGACGGCCATGATGTTTTTATTGGTCCTTCCTCCAGTGGGACCCCACCCTCAGCTGCTCATTGGCTACACTCAGGGGTCATGAAGGGGTCGTCTACAGCACTATTTGGTCCCCTCACATCCCAGGATGCTTTGCTTCAGCCTCAGGTGAGAGCACTGTGATGAGGCTTGTCTTTGGGAAGAGAGAGTGTGCGTGTGGGGGCGTGCACGTGCACGAGCGCCTCATTAGAAGTACCACAGGGTGGCGCTGTTGCACTGTTTGTCAGTGAGTGGACCAGTCATAACATGAACAGTGATTGTGGCAGACAGAGTCCAGGCACTTAATCTCTGTGCTTCTCTGACTCCATCAGCAGGTGGAGCTGTGCTCGAAATCATGGCTGTGATCAGATAACGCTCCTGGTTGGTTAATGAGTTCAGGGTTAATTGGTTTCTTCAGCAGATGAAGTGAAGAGCATCCAGGGCGGAGAAGATAAGAGGCTGCTCCTTATCTGACATCACTTTACATCTTATTTATTAAATGATTAACTCAAGTTATTTTAAATGTACTTTCAAGTTCTATGGTTTTCTTGGCTAACCTTTAGCTAAAATGTAAGCTAACATTTAGCTTTCTTTCCGTCAAGATTTGGTTAATTGTTCCAGTTTTGCGCGGACTCTACGTCTTATATATTTTCACCTCAGTTTTCTCTCTTGAACATTTTTCTCTCAGTGTTTTTTGTCTCCCTCGTAGCCTTCGATCAGGCAGAAAGGAAAACCGCACCAGTGTCTTTGTTGAGCTGCCGCGAAGCGACAGCGTTCACAGCAGCGGTGGGAGTTTGACGTGCACAGTTCAGATGTGCACGTTTAAAACATCTGATGTGATCAGATTAATCCTGCAGGGGCGCATGTGTGTTGGAGCGTGCACGTGAGTGCACGTTGCTGGGTGGGAGCGTGCACGTCAGATGAGAGGTCTGTCAGAACTTGGCTAATGTAATACACAGAGCTAATGCTAGCATTGCTAATTCAGCAGCTAATGATGCTAATGATGACGAGGTGTGTTGAAATGTGTTTTTTTTTTCTTTTTTTGGCTAACATCAAAATGTCATGTGACCAGTTCTGACCCGGTCCAGTTTGTCCGGTGATGTTCACCTGGTTCACTTCTGGCTTCAGACTGGACTGGGAGTGAGGTCCACAGATCTGCAGATGACTGCAGCCTTATCTCCTCCCCCTCCCCCTCTGCCC